ACAGGCGCCTGCTACTGCATGTTTGCGATGAATTACCATATGTGCTTGGAAGCGCCCATTATCAGTGATTGGCCAGACCACTAATACCATGCTAGAACGTTATCCAAGGCTGAAGAGGTTAATTGAGCAAAAGGTCTGACTCGGAGGTCATGACTCGTGGGTAAGCCTCGCCGTTGTTTGGGTATCGCCGATCACACAATACTACTTAAACGCGCTTATTTGCAAAGTCCATCACAGCTCTAAGGAATTAAGATAAACTACTACTGCACTGATCCATAACCTGATATGCAGTTCTGCTTGGCGATGCTAGCAGAGCCACTACGGATGTAGCAGATCCTAGCAGGAATGCATTCGCCCGTGCATGGCGGAGTGAGTATCGAGCCCTTTCCCTGGTATGAATTGAAGGCCTAGGAATAAGTGAGACAACAAGTTAGAAACATCTAGTCACGAACTTACCTCCATCAAAGTCGGGTCTACTTCCATCTCTGAAACAACATATATATAGCGATGGTGGTGGAAAAGAAGGAATATACGCACGCTCAGTTACAAGATGCCACCAGGTTGCGTTCAGTGGGTCAGTTGCTCCCCAGGCGATGTTTCCTCCATATGCCTCACGAGTGCTATACTCGAACTCGAAAGTAGGGCCGAATTGAGTCTGCGAATCCAGTGCAGGATAATCGTTGACGTAACTCTTCCAGCTGCAAGGAACTTGTAAGTACCAGCTGGTGACAGCAGTCCGGAGAAAAACTGACGTATAAGCATCGACCACTTCAAAAGTCTGCGTGGATGTGTAAGCTGGATTTAGCAGACGTAAGTAGGAAAACCTACAGCAGAGTCGATTTCATAAACGCGGAACCCAGAATTCAGGTTGGTGAGGGGTGTTACAGAGGGCCCAGTCTGGAAGCCAAGTTAGATTGATCGTTACTATGGATCCGTCAAAGGACACACCCAGGATACCGCCTGAGCGGTCTCAGCACTTATATTCGTGCCATTATTGGCATAGTAGATCTGGACCAAGAAGATATGTCAGCGTTCCCTTTCTATGAAGTGGCATCGGCTCATACGGATAGCTGGTCCTCGTGTGTGTGACCCCAGAAGATGTCTGATTATGTGAGTCGTCAAACTGGTTCGGGCATCGTAGAGGAATAACATACTAGCAATAACGTGAGGAGAAAAGCGATCAACACTAGGTATATCAGTTCCATGCAGTGATTTCGACATCCAGCGAACTTACATTTGATAAACTAGCGCAGACGCTGCTCAGCATGTTGCACGATAATTGAGAGGTTAAACTTACAGAGATTGGTTGGGTTCGGCAGCGAATTTGAGCCATCCCAACCACTGACGACGTGACCAATGATCCAGACTGAGCACTGTCAGATCGATTGGAATGTAGTATCATCCATCAGCGCACCTCGGTCTCCCGCGTCTTCCGCGTCCTGAAGTTCGTCAGTGAGGAACCTTAGTATTCCAGAAACATCTGGTTCGGAAGAGTTGATGTAATTGAAGTAGTTTGACCTTTGCACAGTTTATATCTTTTGACTGTCTGGATCATTGATTACGCACCTGTACCCTGTAGACAAGTTTGTTAGTGCTCATGCCAGTTAAACATTTTGCCTCACATAAGTTGGTATCCAAGCTGATTACTCTCAGGCCATCTGCACGCTTAACCATGTATGCTGCATAGTGAGTCCGCGAAAACTCGACAGAAGCCTCCGGAAGCCATCCCTTTTGCTCCCATAACGCTGTAACGTGGTCGTATAGCCTAGTAGATGAGATAAAATATAAGATGGAAACTGACGAGAGAGAAATTATACCAGCTGAACTGTTGCCCCAAAGCACCTCCTAGGGATGAAGGCGAAGCTTGATCTGGTAGACAAGTATCATGGTTTCCGAGCGTAGCATAGGTTGGGCCAGATCCGAGCATGCGCTTCAGTAGATCATAAAGGACAACCTGCCAGGACACATGATATGTGACGGTCTAATTTTGAAACACAAATATTACCTCAGCGTACTCGTTCATGGCCCTTGAAGGGAAGTGAGAAAAGACCGACAATGTGTATAAAACACGTACCTAGATTGCTGGTTATCTGGGTCATGCGCTAACAGGTCGCCAGTGAACAAAGTAAAGTCGAAGCCAGTTGAATCAGTTCCGGTCAACGGTGGGATGGCCTCCAATATAGAGGTGATCAATGAATACGGAGCGTCGCTAAAAGATGTCAGATTGTATTCTTCCAGTGAATGAGCTCTAACCAGAGGAACGAGCCGTATCGTGGCGCAGGGAAGAGAGGTGTCTGAGGGCTGAGAGAATTGTAAGCATTATCGCGACAACACAAACCACTGGTGCAGTTTGCTTCTGCGCCGTTCGCATAACCTGTCAATAGAATATCGGTGAAAATAAACAACGCATACGTGCAAATGCCGCTTACGGGCATCAATATGCAGGTCAGAAAGATGTAAGACTTTCATCAGTTGGCCACTGGGCTGCTTGGGAGGGGGAAGAGGGTTTGGTTTTGGCTTTGCAAACCAGCCAGTGAGGTTGAGAGTCGTTGTCGTAGGTGCTGGACATAAGCCAAGAAACTCGGAGCAAATCGACTGGGAAACATCATGAGCAGTATTCTTCCGTTTCAGCAACTAATTTTACCTGTCCGTCATACCCTCCGACATCAGCAAAAGATGCAACTTGAGTAAGGATCGGTCCCAAGACGAGAGGTCCATAATTTTTCTCGCAAGAGGGTGAATAATCGAAGTACTCGCAAAGCGTCAGAGCAAGATTGGTCCCTTGTTCAGGAGCGGCAAGAGCAAGAAATTTGGCCACTTCTAGAGAAGCCTGGCACCGCGCACATGATGTAGTGAACATCGGGTTTACTGCAATTGACTTGATCTGCGCTACGGCTTGTTGAAGAAGTTGTTCAGAGGACGCCTGGGGTGGAAGCGGATGGGGATCCACAGTGTCATTCTGTCAAAGCCGGAGGGTTAAAACGATGAAACCGACGCGGCGCATATTGGGAATGCACGTTACCTGAGGAATGTTTTGCGGGTCTGTCAGGGAAAATGGAAAGATTTCATGCTGAAGAGCGAGTTAGTTTCAGTTACGTAGTAGTTATAGTAGAGAATTACCGTGACGGGATCTGAAATGACTGGCTGTGGCTGCGCAGAGGTGGCCGTTGGATTATTGTAGTAATGAGAGTAGAGAGAAGTTGGGAACGCTCCTGGGACCGCATATGAAGAAGGAACAGTACTAGCAGTAGCACTATTCTGGACCGCTGAGGCAGCCAAGACGAACTCGGATCCCTGGCCATAGTGACTCCAAGCCAAAGTGGCTAAACCTAAGAAATATCTGATTTTAACAGACATTCCGAGCGTCGTGAAGCTTTTCAAGCAGGAAGATGGACTGCACGTACGTACGAGTGCTTCACACCACATTAACCGGCTTTGTTTATTAAGAACTCGCTAAAGTGATCATATGACCTACAGTAGGTCCAGTACTGTCGGATGAGGGATAAATCGGTTGCCACGAACGTTCGAACGCCGCGCGGTTCATTAGGTGCCTTTGCACACGCATGTAGTGCTAAATGAGGAAGTGAATGGGCCGAAAAGAATGTCATTAATTAAGCTGTGTATGGATAAGTACTTCAGCGCTTAAGCCCGCATACATACCAAGTCACTTCGACGAGTGAACGTTACTAGTGCTTATACCCCCCAACTGGTTGCAGAGAGACGCATTAATGTTCAGAACTTTGAATATTCATGAATGTCCAAAGTGAGAAGAGAGGAAAAGGAGAACCAAAGGAAGACCATATATGCTTACACACAGGCCCGGTGTTTTTATCTTACATTGCCCTCATTAGTATGCACAGCTGGTAAGTTGTAACGTGATCCCTGGTCCTGCTAAAGCAAACCCACCTGCTGCCGTTCCGAGGACAGTACCTCATTCAAGCTGGTCAATTTACTCTAAGCTGTCTGACGAGAATCCGGTATTTTGGCCAAAAAAATTCAATGTTTGAAAAGCATTGTACAACGTAACAATCTATACATTCATCATGTGAGCAGTTCAGACACCCACACTCCGTGCATTCCTGGCAATGGACCCTGTCATATGGACCCTTAGGCTTCCCTTCCCAAGTTTTGCCGAGCCTGCGGGCTCAGCGGACACCCTTAAAGCTTAAGTACCCATGAGTGTATGCAAACGTGTGTTGTCACGTGACACGGCGGCGCTCACTTTATAAGTCTGTATTCAGATAGGACACTAGTCAATCGCAAAGCAGTCAAACAGAAAGTGTGGCGGGACTAGTGAACTGAATATGTACATGCCTGGTCGAATTCAGAACGTTGAATGTCCGGACAGTCCAGTCCTACTGCAGTGCTTTCGTATTGCGCTTTTGTTTCCCGGGGCCCAGTTCCCAAAGCTGTGTGTAGTGACAAGATCTGCTGAGCCTGCTACTCGTTAAACACCAGACTCAGCAAAGTTCCAGGAAGACATCATTCCGGACCCGTTAAGGCGAGGCTTCACCACTAAAGACAATTCGTCGTCTCCATGGCTTATTGCAGATCTCTTGTCCACCCGTGGAATCATCATCTCCTCGAAGCTCGAGCACTTGAATATGCAGAGCGTGGAAGGTCGATCTGTGCCGAATTCTCCATCACTCTTTCTGTTGCTGTGTTTTCGGGAGAAAGGCACTTTCAGGCTTGTGTTGCAACCGGTTCTTCATTGACCAAGTTAGCATGTTAATTGGAAGCCCTAGGATAAGACCAACACCCTCACATACATATCTTTGAAGTCGCCTCGGATACCTGAGTTTGAGATATGTGCACGTTCAAGGAATATCTCTTCATTCTTTTATGTTCGCTCGTACATGTCCGGAACGTTTTCGCAAAAGGAATGTTTGCGTTCGGAAAGGAGTGCAAAAACCTGAACAGGTAAAATTACTTCGAAAGCCAACGTACACTGTGAAACTGACAAAAGGTTTTGTCAACACGCATCTATCAAAAACTCCTACTGGTCGATTCCAAGTCCACAGGGTTCGCTCGGCTGCGGGATTCCTGAGCTGTCACGTGTAAAACTAGAAATATTACTTATTTCGATGTCAATGGCAACCAAAAATTGTTGTGAAGATCGACATACCTCGCACTCATGAACACATACGAGTCGTCTGTGGCGCAAGTCATACGCGCATAAACTCCCCACATCCCGGACACTCGTCATAGTCAGTGCAATCCTTGCAATAAATACTGTTGCAAGATTCACAACGGGATTCGCGCTCATCAAAGCAGTCTATACAGATTCTGGACTGACATCCCTCGCACGTCGCCACGAGGAATGCGCTATTGTTTGCGCGCGAAGACTCCTCCCGATCAGATAATTCTTCTTCCATGCAATCGTTGCATAGTGTCACCTTGCAACAGTCCGCGCACACGCCGATATATTTGCACCCAAAAAAACAAAAATAGTTCTGACATTTTGGACAGCGTCCACACCTGTCCAGAATTTTATTTTGAGTGGCACACGCGCCACAAATCCAGTTGTCCCTGCAGAGACAAAGTATGTGACCGTCCGTGGGGCTGACGCAATCAGGACAGATTACACCACCAGTAAGATGTACGCGAGAGAAACAGTCGAGCTGGCTGCACATCTTCGCCGTGGCAAGGGTCGAAAAGCACGAGTGACACGAAGACACAAAACTAACGAGGTCAGCACCTTTACAGTGACTGTTGTCGCAGGTGACATTCGAACAACCATGACATGTGATGAGAAGATGCGAACAGATGGGACAGCGAGGATAGTCGGGTATGGATGGTGAAGTGGGTATTTGAGGTGGTTGGCTTGCTTGTGACTGGGATATCAAACCGTTATCGGCGAGTAGCTGGTAATAGTTCTGCAAAACAGCTTCATTTGAATGTGAAGTGGCTGAATGCTGAGTTTCACGCACCTGGAGACCGACCTCAGAAAGACTTTGATCCATCGCTGACTGTTGCGTGCCCTTGTGCTCGCTGTGAGAACCTACTTATCAGGTTTTCATCTTGGAATTTATGTGTCCTCATGCTGTGCAGTCCAGTTAGTTTAGGAAACAACAAAATGACATTCTAGGAACCATTGTACAATGTACTGGTCCGGATACTTCCGATGTTCCTGTGTCGAGACCACTAGTAGTAGCTATGTGTGCATGGATCCAGAGTTACCAGTGTGTGGGGCGCATGCATGCGCAGCTTTACCTTCAGAAGTTCGACATCGTACGATGTTGTTCTAACTTGCTGTCTGAGGAGAATCCGAATTTAGCCGAAAAATGTAATGTTTGAAAAGTGTTGTACAACGTAACAATCTATACATTCATCATGTGGGCAATTCGGACACCCACATTCTGGTGCATTGTAGAGTCCAGACAATGTTAATGAACGTTCGAACAGGCCTGTCATATGGACTCTCTTGGAAAGTTTTGCCGAGCCTGCGGGCTCAGCGCTGCAGCGCTCAGCGGACACCCTGACCACATCTATGATTGCCTCTGTTAAACAATGTGAACCACATTTCTTCCCACGTTCAGTCTCGAATTCGCACGGAGCGCAACTCCCTTCAATTGACCTTGCTACTGTCACCTTCTATTGATGACTTCGCCCGTCAGCAACTCACCGGTACCCCCACTAGTTGTCTGATATTTCGTTACAACTCTCAGCCTCTCAAAGGCAACTTGATGATGCCCGCATGTCCATTGGAAGCCCTGGGATGAAATCGACACCCATCTCATACATATCTTTGAAAAGCTGCTGTTCGGTATGTCATAGAAATCACCTCGAATGCCTGAGTTTGGGATATGTTCACGTTCAGGGAACATCTGCTTCATTCGTTTGTGTTCGTTCGTACATGCCTGGGACTTCTCCGCAAAAGGAACGTTTGCGTTCGGGAAGGAATGCGAAAGCCTGAACAGGTAAAATTCGAAAGCAAGAGTACACTGCGAAACTGACAAAAGGTTTTGTTAACACCCGTCAGCGTCTATCAAAAACTCCTACTGGTCGACTGCAGGTTTCCTGAAGCTGTCACGTGTAAAACTAGTCCGAGAATTGTGCCTTATTTCGATATGTCAATGGCAACCAAAAATTGTTGTTTGAAGATCGACATACCGGGCACCACTCATGACACACACAAGTCTTCTGTGAACACGTACGCTCCTCACATCCCGGGCACTCAACATATAAGGCCGCGCAATCCATGCAATGAACACTGAGACAAGATCCACAACGGGATTTTTGCTCTTCGTAGCAATCTATACAGATTCTGGATCGACATTCTTCGCACGTCTCCACGAGGAATGTTAATATGCTCTCTCTTAAGCGGAAAGACCGCTTCCGATCAGACTCGGATAATTCTTCCTCCATGCAATCGTTGCACAGCGTCACCTCGCGGCAATCCGCGCACACGCCAATATATTTGCACCCAAAAAAACAAAAATAGTTCTGACATTTTGGACAGCGTCCACACCTGTCGAGAAGTTGATTCTGAGTGGCACACGGGCCACAAATCCAGCTGTCTCCGCAGTGACAAATTATGTGACCGTCCGTGGGGCTGACGCAATCAGGACAGATTACACCACCAGTAAAATGTGTGCGAGAGAAACAGTTGAGCTGGCTGCACATCTTCGCCGTTGCAAGAGTCGACAAGCACGATTGACACGAAGACACAAAACTAACGAGGTCAGCACCTTTACAGTGACTGTTATCGCAGGTGACATTCGAACAACCATGACATGTGACGAGAAGGTGCGAGCAGAGGGGGCAGCGAGGATGGTCTGGCGCGGATGGTGAAGTGGGTATTTTAGGTACTTGACTTGCTTGCGAATGGGATATCAAACCATTATCGGCGAGCAGCTGGTAATAGTCCTGCGAAACAGTGTCATTTGAATGTGAAGTGCCTGGATGCTGAGCTTTACGCACCTGGAGACCTACCTCAGAAAGACTTTGATCCATCGCTGACTGTTGGGTGCCCTCGTGCTCGCTGTGAGAACCTACTTATACGATTTTCATCTTTGGATCCATGTGTCCTCATGCTGTGCAGTCCAGATAGTTTAGGAAACGCGATTTAGGAACCAGGGTCCAGTGGGCTCATTGTACTGGTCCGGATACTTCCGGTATTCCTCTGTCCAGACCACTAGCTCTATCATACTATGTACATGTGGATCCAGAGTGTGGTGCGCATGCGTGCGCAGCTTACCTTCAGAAGTTCGACATCGCGCGATGTTGTGTCTTCCCTCCGATTGCGGCGGAGGCTGTGGCGCCTTCGAAATTGAACCACTGGCACCAGCTGTGCAGGTGCGCCGACGCTCTAGCTGTCCTATCGACACGGAAGAAGTTTAGAACTGTTAACGATCTCATCATTTGCGATTGAGATATTAGGGGAGTTCAAAGTGGGATTCTGAGTCCGATTTGGACTTAAATCCTTTGCAGCGCTTGTAACGGCCTGCAAAACCTTCCACAAGCCCATGGTGGGTGTGCTGTGAACTGAAATAAATCCATCAGAACAAATGCTATGCTGTATAATGAGGTCCACTGGTATATCGTAGCGGTATCGCACTGTCAGGGTCAGTTTCGTGCTGTTCATTTTTTTACGTTCAATGGCAACCTGGGCCTGGCTAACCGAACATTTAAAATAGTGGAACTGTCGGGGAAAGGCGTCGAACCGTTATCTGCCAATAATGCATGTCGATTTTTGCAGTCGCTCCGCTTGTTACGGTGTTCCCTCATCGATTATACCATCTGACCGCCTTTTTCACACTCTCAGTCATCCCTATCGAGGCAACCTGCTGTGTTTTCGTCATCTGGAAATAGATAACTTGGGTCGCCATCCACCTTCCGTCACAGTCCGCGGATTATTCACAGCCCTTTGTCGATGACTACACTTGGTTTGACTGCGAGTGTTAATTGATACCGTGAATCTCGATATCGATCCTGCTGTTGAGCCAACACAACATACCTTTTTACAAAAATTTGGACACACCTCTCGGAAACTCGTAGCGGACCCCGAAGTTCTCGCTCGTGATATTTTCACCCAGCTCCCTTGCATAGCACGTTCGTGGGTCGGGGGCATTTGCAGGAAGTCAACATCTATCTCACATCTGCTGCGCTGCGTGACACAGGGGTCACCTCAAATACCCGAGTTTGGGATACATCATCCCTGTTCGGCAATATACTGGACTTGCCGTATTCGTTTGAGTTCGTTCGCATGTGTTGGGAACGTTTTCGCAAAGTTTTGGCGACAACCAGCCCGTCAAAACCCATTGCCCCTGGTCGATTCTAAGTCGACAGATACATCGCTATTCTCACCACGTCGTTGCATTGCATCCATCAGGATGCCTACCTTATTTCGATACATCAATGTCAACCAACATTTGATGTACGAAAATGAATCTACGAAAACTCCTTCATTCCCTTGCAAATCGGGTACAGAGGTGCCTTGCAATCCATTCTGAATTATCCATAAAAGTCATTCATCCGCTAAAGATACAATCATTTCAGAACACTTGCCATTCCCCTAGCAATACCGGTACATTTCCCGCAACAGAATTGGCGCTCTTCGAAACAGTCTGCACTGGTTCTGCGCTGGCAGTGTTTATACGCCGTCACGGTCACGAGAGTTGTGCCTCGTAAACGATTGGGGATCTCTACTTGGGGCATATGCATGTCCACCTCATCGGCATGTATATCTCCTCATCAAATAAATGAATCTCTTCCTCATCAGAAATATGCGCATCTTTTTCAAGTTCCGTGCAATCGTTGCACAGTGCCATCTTTTGCACCCCGCGCATGCGTCGATGTATTTGCGCCCGAATAAACAGAAAGAATTCCAACACTTTGGACAGTCCACGCTTCTCCAGAATTCGAACCGTCTTCATCAGTGGCACATGCTACAAACCCATTTATCTCCGAGCAAACCATGTCCATGGTCTGACACGATCAGGAAGTACTGATTACGCCATCACGAGGGAGTGACAGACGCCCTGGCTGCACTTCGATACCACGAGGGTAGAAAAACACGATTGATCGAACGAGGTTGGCATTTTCACACTCGACCCGTTAGCTTTATCACAGGTGACACTAGACCACGGTATGTGATGAGCATATCTGCGACATAGCATCATTTGAATCTGAATTATCTTGAAAATTGGTGTCACGCATCTAGAAGCCAACCTCAGAGAATTTGATCCATCATTGACCATCACTGGGCTCATTGCTCGAAGTGAGAGCCTACTTATCAGTTGGGTTTCAAGCTTCAAGTATTAGTACAGGTGTATTCATGCAGTGTGGCAGTTGGTGATATCAACTGGTGTCTTGACGATGACATCTTCACAGAAATCAGAAATCGAGCGACAGTCAGCTTACATTCAAACAGTACTTATTAATTGCAATATGTAATGCTAAGAGCTACAACTGTCCAATACAGTACAAAATAGTGTACTGCACAACACCATACAGTAGATATATCAACGTGAGACCAGCGTTCCCGCTGGGGTTGTCCGTGGTTGTACACACATGAGTAGACCATATAAGTACGGTCATGTTAATGACATGCGCGTGGCGTCGTGACAATTCCTAGTGTTAGGAAGCGTCGGTGCTGTCATCAAATCGCGGAACCGCTGGAGGCGAAATGAGGTTCAGATTCAGGTTCAGGCGAGGAAGAACGGGAGGACCGGGAGGGAGCGCTAGTGGGACGAGCTGCATAACGGGGGCGACTCTCAAGAGGCTTGGAGATCAAGAAGCCTAAGAACCATGATGAGAATATAGTACGGAAAAAAAAAGAACAATGAACACTGACCTCTCAGGCCTGCAGCCTTCTCACCTTGTCGCCCAAAGCCGTAACCAGCTCGGCTTCCATTCCGCATTGCGCCGAACTCCGTAACATTTCCAGTCTTCTCATCGTAGACTGTCGAAGAAGTGTATGTCTGCCCGGAGCTAGAACGGCTAAGATTGGTAGGAGGACGTGGGTTGTTCGTTGGCAGTACATCCTTGGCACCCTCACGCCACAACGTAATGGAACGTCTGCTCTTGGCCGATTCACGAAAGAGGAGACCAAGGAACATGTTTATGCAGCCGAGGACAAAAAGGAAGAAAGCGGAGACAAGGGTGAAGTCATCCACATGCTGCGAGAGGACTGCAGCTCCGATACTAAAAAAGTCAGCGCTGTGTACGAAACTGCGTAAAGAAAATAACTCACAGTCCTTGGAAGATACCAAGAGCACCAAGTCCAAAGCCAGAACCAAGCACAGGGAAAAAGCGATCAAAGAAAGGGGATGGCCAGCCAATTTCGGAAAGGAAAAGAATGACAACTTGGAAGATAATAAGCAGGCGGTTGATGATAGCCCAGAAAACGCCGCCAATCTGGTTGGGTACGGTGCTGTTCCTGTTTACGACGTCAGTACACAATAATACTTATACATGGGACATTCGAACTTACTCGATGTATTCGCAGTCGGCAAAGTCTTGCGCTGTGACATTGCCACTTTGTCTTGCAGCTTCAAACGCGTTGACAGCCTCAACGTCTGTGACTATGACAAAGATGCTACTGGCAAAGACCAGTATGAGAGAGACGATGCTCAGGAAGCGGACAACATTGAGTCCAAAGAAGATATCTGAGGCCAAGTCAGCTAACCTAGCTAAGCAAAACAAAAAAACTGTACTCACATGCTCGTACGCCGGCCATTATGAACGATAGAAAAGAATGATAATGTCTAGGGGATGCTTAAGATCACAGACTTGGTTGACTTGAAAACAACAGCAATTGCAGGGGTGTCTTTGGTGAATGAATAATCGGGTGGCCCAGCACCGGTAGAAAGCAACGAGGACGGTTAAGGAAACGAGGCGGGGGATGGAATACATTTTGACCAGCTGAGAACAACGGTTTATGTAGTTTGGACTGATGTGGATGGTCCATTGACCTCCCGACCTTATTGTTCTTCAGAAAGTCCACACACGATTCATTGAACAAAAAGAGCGAGTACAATGCTTCATCCGACTTTTACGTAATTGGTGCCCGGAATCAAAATTAAAATATCTCAATCGCGGAGTTAAAAAGTACCACAACACTTTGCTGGCTCGTCCATTTTTATTGTTGGTCCACAGCGCCCGATGTTTGTCGTTGTCAGCCTTGGGTTGCCCAGTGGACGTAGTACAACACATGATGTTATACGCAATCTCCCAATTACATACGATCTCAGAAATCGCCGCACTTCTCAAATCATAATTTACAGTAGTACTATGTACAGCTCACCAAGCCATGACTGTAAGGGTATTTGTATCCAGGATCTGGGGATATACTTATATCAAGACAATGAACAGCGCTGGCATACAATTCGTATCTATCCACTCCGTGGGCAGAATAAGAAACCACAGTGAGAATATCTTCAGAGATGATTAGAGTGTATTGTCCATAGGCTACGTTCAAACAACTGTATATAGGTATGGAGGAACGTAAAAGCGCGTGGGTGGTTATAGTACGGTCATCGCAAGTCCAAATATGGGGTAGGGTTAGTAAATGTGATATCAGTGCTCAATGGACTGTTTTCGGCGGGAGGGATGAACTATTCTCTCGAGTAGGGTGGGGGTTCGTTTGCTGCAGTACCCGAAGTGGGAGAAACCAGTCCGGCATCTGTGTGCACAACAACACTGTTAGATCTCCTTCGTCTTGGGGCACGTTTACCGGGCGGCCGAGCAGGCACAGATGAAGAAGACGCAGACGCAGGCGCGGGTGCGGGTGCAGGTGTGGGTGCAGGTGCAGATACAAGAACAGGGGATTTGGGCGACTGAGGGCCATCATTGATGATTTGCAAGACCCGCCTGTCAATCACAGGGGTAGGACTTCCTGTGCGATTAAGCGGATCAAATACGCCAAGCTCATCAACGCGGTTGCTCGACGAAAGCAAAGAAGGTCCGGATACATCTAGCAATGGTGTCGCGCTGCTGGTGGAGACCACAGACAGCGATCGAGGGCCCATGGAAGACTGGGATGTCGATTGGGATGTCGCACTGAGATGCCTCTGCGCAACAGCAGTTTGTGTTGCCTGCATGGACCCTGAAATGGAAGCCTTCGAAGCGTTCCCGGGCGCAGAACTCATGCCAAGCAAAGGGGTGACTGACGTATTGCGGCTGTGGTTACTTGCCACGGAAGTGCTGAATGAAGGATGGTGAGATTGGTGAATGCTTGGCGGGGAACTTGACCCTGGTGGTGGCGTTACATGTCCGACGAGACCATACTGATATGGTTTAGGCTCAGCGCCGAGGTCAAGCATGCTCCTGTCACGGTCTCGGCGCACAGCAACTGGGGAATCAAATTCTTCATCTTCAATGGCTTCTCTATCAAAGATATCATCCCAAGATCTGCGTCTGCGGCTGCAAAAGAGGAGGAAAGGAAAAAGTAAATCGGGGAAACAAATGAATGCTAGGGTGACGGAATTTACCAGAGGTACCACAAAGCGCCCACGATCGCGATTAATCCAACAAAACCGCCAAGCACACCCCCGACTATGGGGGCTACATCTGTGCCTGATCCACTCGCACTTTGAGTACTTGTGACAGTTGGGTTAACAATCACAGATGGTACATAAACAGAAGATGCCGGGAGTGTAGATGTTGTAGTGAATACAGTCGCAACCACATCGCCGTTCGAAAGGGTTGTAGAAGACGATTGGGTGATAATGGACGGCGCAGGTGTGGTCTCTACTAGCACGGACGTTGTGACTGGGCTAGGAGTTAAACTAGAACTTGTTTGACTAGCCGTGGAATGCGATGTTGTCTGCGACGGGGTGGAACCATCAGAGCAAGAGGCGAAGAGAGTGCTCGTTGGTTGAGTCTGGGTGACTAAAACCGTCACAATTACGGGTACTTGTGTGGTAACAACCCCACCTGGAAAGAATGCAACCATCAGCACCCCATTCGGAAGCGAAGGATGACCAAAATAACCGCGACAAGTGGAAGCATCGGTGCCGTCAACGCGGTCACACAACACCGTGGTGCGACAGCAGAAGGGAAATGAGTACGATAATGAACTACGCACCTGCAATGGTGTTCACCTGAGTGACCGCTGTGCTCGAGATGCAACCTGTACTATTTGATCCACTCAAGGTGCCAGTGGCGATACAGGTCTGCTGCACAACAGTGGTGAGTGCATCCTGATTGTTCGCTACACTCTGTGAGAGGGACGTGGACGTCGTAAATGTAGTGATAGTGGTGTACTCCGTTGCAGTGGCAGACGGGGTGCAAGACATGGTCCTTGGAAGGTTGGGCAACAGAATCAAGCAAGTCCAGCACTAAGGGTTCATGCAAAAAGTAATTAAAAAAAAAACACGGGTCCAGAAAGCCCGGAGGAAGAAAAGGCAAGCAATCGAGAAAAGGGAACTGGGGAGAATGAAGTCAAGAAACAAAGGTTGAAAGTTGAGCAAAGCTTACTTGTGTATTCAAAGGCACGAAGGCACTGCTTTCGCTTACCTTTTCATTTTCGGCACAGTCGGTTAGCCGTAATATTATCTGCACTCTATCATAGCAACCTGCAGCTGGGTTGTAGTGCACACGACGGGCGTCGGGCAAACTGAAACCCCGTTGACAAGGTGCGTGCACAGATGCTAACAACAATGGCAACTTGAACTACTACTATTAATATTACTGGTGAAAAAGTAGCACAACACTGAGAACCGAGAACTTTTGCAGACAAGCTCGAGTAGAGCTTCTGCCAGCGGCATGATATATCTGCATGAAATATCAAACTATCATAATTCGCCGTAAAAGTCTTGAAAGAATTAATGTAAGCCTGGACCAGAAGGCATAGTACTGCCCGTAGTCCTTCTCCGCCGCCACTTCAAGTTATTGTCATCAAGCGCAGGGCGCTCAGAACGCGTTCCCACCTCTGAGATGACTGCTTGTCTATGTGCTGGCACCACTTCCACCAGCTGCTCGTGACCATTCCTTGGTTTGATATCAAGAACGCCATCGTGTTGGATAGGTTCCACCTGATCTACAAGCCCATTCCTCTCTCTCACGCGTCGCCATAGGTTTCTAGTTGCGCTTTTCACAAACTTCCCCAACGTGACAAGCGGATCCTTGATCAGTGGGTCTTCTGCAACAGGGTCGTAGGTCCACAACGGCCGTCCTTGCTGACGCCCTCCACGTGTGGGACGTTTTCTCCGCGAACGGGCCGCCATCCCGAGCGGACAGTCCGAACGCTTCCGATTAGGGTCTGGTGAGGGAAGCGGTGCGAATCTGACAGTTGGCATGTGTCCCAGCGAAAAGCATGTGGATGAAGGAGAGGAGTTTGATGAGTTAAAGTTTGTGATGGTAGGAAAGATCAATGATGAGTTAGGGGACGGGGTGTGCTCGGACGAGAGCTTGGTCACCACTTCATGGTCATTATCGAGGCAGGTGGCGACAGACATGGTGTGCCCTTGACGAGTCGGACTGACTCGGAAGAAAAGAATGTAAGGTGTTCAAAGAATGTAAGGTGTTCAAAGAATGTGACGAGTCTCCGAGAAAATTTTATCCGAAACGACTACACCGCGGTCTGCAGCCCAGTTGGAAGGCAGCTTCAGATGGTGGATCAGAGCAAACCTGAGAAGCGAAAATGATTTATTATGAGTACGACTTTGGTATAGCTCCGTGTATCTCTTGGTAACAGGCTAAACAGCACTAAAGTCGAATTTACTTTGCAACCGATTTTGACTTAGAGCTAGCTAAGCGCATAACCGCTTTTGGCTGCACCTTTTGCCAGGGAGTTTTTGTTACGTATATGTAATGTTATAACCGAATACCATGAGCACAGTCCGACCAGACAGTCATGCACAGCAATTTGGTCGGAGAAGGTCTAATACTGCACAATCAATCTTTCGCAATCCCCCTGGACCACCACCACAACCTCTGAAACTCGGAGATGTCAAAGTTCTCAATTCATGGGTACACGACCAGAAGGAGTCTTCCACCGCTATATTGAATCAAACATGGTTGCCCGGTGTGGCAGAGGGAGACATGCTACAAGTCTCAGGTTGCAATACAGTAAATGCTACTGCTGGGTATCTATTCATGGTTCCAAAGGACGAAGGCTGCTCGAAACCCGCATTACAGGTGCCTGTTCTGCCTCGGTCACCGTGAAATCGCACTCAGACAGGCCCAGATTTCACTTCCAAAGAATGTTGCAGACGCGTTTGGAATCAAGAACAATGGCGAGGTGGCCGTAACGAAAGTAATTGTATTCTTGACAATTTCGGTCAAAGGCGTGCTCATAATCGAGGCAGGTGGACAAGCAGCAGTATTGTGCAGACTATATCGAGTTCACATTCCAAGACCAATATCTTGGTCGAAATGAGATGTGGAGACTAGCAGAGCACCTTGTAGGGCAGTGTGTATTTGTCGATCAGGAGATATCCTTCATAAGCGTGATCGCCGCCAAGATACAATCCATCTATGTCAAGGGTCGAAGAGTAGGTGTATGGCCTCCCGCTTCCCTGTTATACTCAAAAGGCGCTTTTGCAGGTATCTGCAGGATACGTTACTGCCACTACCAAAGCAATATACCGGTCTCTCTCTGCGAAAGTGACAATCTTCATTCAAGTCTGCCGTGAACTCTGGGAATTTGCGGGAGATGGTGAACGCTACAATGAGAAAATCGTACACTCGTTTCTCCCTGCCTTATTTGCCAAGTGGCGCGAGGCTGGGACGAATCATACAGTGACCATCGTGCTTATCTCGAGGGTGTATTACGATGACTCCGAAAAAGAGTATACCGCAGGGCCTCTAAGACTGGATGAAGATGGTCGACGGTACAAGGATTTTTACAAGGTCATTACTGACTTGGAAGTCATCCATGACTGGAAACCTACACTTGTGGGACTCAAAGTGTCCTTCTGGGCTTTTCAAAGGGACATCTTACTCGCCCATCACTACCATCAAGCTTCCGTCGAATCTATAGCACCAGAGCAAGCCAGACTCGTTGGTCAGCTATCGGATGCGCATGACGGACCTATTTTGGAGGCTCTCAACTTGGGTCTTAACCCAAATGAAACGCATTACATTGATCGCTCACTGTCAAACACTGGGGCGTCAATCATCCTCATCACTCCCGGTACAGGCTATTACAAAGTATCCAAGCAATTGCTCCGATTAACCACAACTCGCATGCTTGACCAGGGTTTCGGTTTGGATCTCGTATCATTAGCAAAACGCCCTTTACACCAGACTCCCATATTCGCTTTCAAGGGATACGAGCCACGCTTGGATAAGGATGGGAAGAACGGAGGTCGAGCCCTCGATCCGCTCTGGGGAGGTGATGAAGACCTAGAGGAGTCCAGGAGATTGGAGAAGATTACGTTCTGGTGGGAGCCATTCTGGATAGGTATCTCCTTCTGGGACAAGCAGATGGATCTACCTTTTCGCGAGGATAGGTTTGTTGTTTGAGCTCGATCCTTCGCCTTGACTGACGGCATTCTCAGGTTTGTTGCCAGAGCAAAAATGCATCAGATACAGATGCTTGGGCTACTCGAGCATGACGTCCTTTCTGGCATAGAGGTCCCTTACCTCCCAGAGTTACATGACCCATACGCCATGCCCCCACGAGACAGCTTTCCGGAAGATGACCGTGCTCCCACACAAGCAGAAGCTGATCAAGCCGACATGGATCTGTTCGTCTTGAAGAAAGAGCCCCGACCCGTCGCCAGCACGCGCACTTCATATGGATCTTCTGCAAGTGGAACTGTCATGGCCTCGTCCTATCGTTCATCGATCATGAGTGAGAGACGTGGGCTAGCATCGCAACGCAGTTCTATCGCCTCCACGCGTATAGCACCCATTGAAGAAAGTCCCAGAAAAATCATCATGGATCTACCTCCTGAAGGCAATGAAGATGGGTTGCTACCCTCCGTAACCGGACTCAGCACATCTCCTTCGCAGTCTATACGCTCAGTGAGAACCAACGCATCTACTACTTCCAATAACGGAAGTGACCTTCAATCCCGCAACGCGGGCTCTTCACGTCTTGCTAAAATTGCATCGTCTTGGTTTTACAATGCCTTTCAAAGAAGCTCGAGTGACTCTCAGACATCTTCGATTGCTGCCTCATCAGTCACAGGTTCCATATCTCCCCCCACTCCAAACATGCGCATCCCGATCACGTCAAATCTCTCCGCTACACCCTCTGCCTCGCTTTCCCGCTCACCTCAACCAATGGCCATATTACATGGTGCATCGGGTCGATCGGCTCTGAGCAGGACGTATGAGGAAGAAGGCAATTTTGCGCATCGAAGTTCCTTGAATCGGCATTCACCGATGAACACCCCTCCCCGTGATGAAAGCACTTTTGGGAAGAGGCGCAATACGACACTAAATGCACTAAACCTACTTTTCTCGTCGTCTTCCCCAGTCCCCACTCTTCGCACCAATCCGTCGCGACCTCAACCTACAGTCTCGTACGCACAGTCTTCACTTGCCAGACGCCGACAGCATGTGTTTCCTACGCCCACGTACAAGCACGAGGTGAAATGGAAGTCCATGGTCACTCCAGCGTGTCTTCCGCTCACGATGGACCACTTCCCCAGCAATTCAGAGCTGGAATTGTCATATGATGTATTCTCGTATGACTTTGTCGTCGATCCGACAGAGATGCGTTCCTTCCTGGTGAAACCGCCTCCTGCTCAGGGGAACACCGAGGAAGTGCGCCGTGCGTGGGCACTCACTGTAATGCGTGGTATGGTTGCCGTCCGACTTGCACAAGGGTTCCAGTTTGTCTTGCGACCACGTAAAACGGGTGACAGTGAAGACCACACGACCATGCGGCGGACGAAATCTTTCATGGGCGAGGACGATGCATCGCCAAAGCCAGCTGGGGCAGCGGAAGTTCTCAAGACCACCAATCTACCTGTTTACTTGAGCATGAGCAATGAGATTCACCGGATATCTTACACTGGCGAGGCGATCCAGGTGAGGCGATATGTTAGAAGAATGCCGCCGACCCAGCCCTTTGAGTACGAGTGTCTCATCTGGCCTAAGCTCGGTGTGGGGTATACGGAGTTGAAGACAAAGTTCGTCTCACATGGACTGGAAAATTTCGGCTGGAACAGGTCTGTTTTTTTTCGTGCTTGTGCACGATGTCAGTGCTGATTTCTTATCCTAGATTGGATATGTTGGTTGCTGGCTATGAACATCAATTTAATGAATCCTTGCGATACTGGCGGACTAGGTTCGTAGTCATACCGTCCGCCGTCCCTGAGGGTAATGTGGGACCCTCTGGAGAGAAGCTCAATGATGAAGAAATTCGGCTTATGGGAATTGACAAGCTTGCCGAGATATTCACAAAATTGCGGTGGCAACCTCCAGATGAGCGCGGTACGCCCGTTGCACCCGTGCGCTTCCTCCCTACGACACTCGGCCCTGTGCACTGTGTCCTGGATGAGTCGCTTGTGGCACAACTGGACGAAATACATGCTGCGGGACCTCTGAAGAAGAAAATGCAGAGTACCAGGGAAATCGCAGACACCCCTCTTTCGTTGATAGCGAAACTCATGCGTGAAGAGGACGGCGTACCGATCAAGTTTCATCAATGGCATGGAGCGAAGTATCCTGATTCTTTCACTGGGTTTGACTTTGTTTCGTGGCTTGTGCGCGAGTTCCGAGATGTGACGTCAAGGGAGCAAGGTGCTGAATGCGGGGCGAGGCTCCTTGAACAAGGGTTGTTCTCTCATTGCCGAGGGCGCCACGGCTTACTGGACGGGCAAGTTCCTCGGATGTTTGATACTACAAATTGGACTAATTTGTCATTCCGCCACAGGCACTACTTCTATCAGCTAAATGGTGAATATGCAAGCGTTAGCACCCCAAGAGGAGGGTGGATCAAGACATCTCGTTATATTAACGGCGATGAGGTCAGCATCACTAGACCAGGGGGAGGATATTACCCATCCAGTCTTGGTAGACCCTCGGGGCCTAGGCGCAACAGGAAGTGCCTGATCCTGAGTCAAACTATGATAATTGATGTTGATCCCACCAAGGTACACAAAGTTGTACTGTGTGGCTTCCCTGAACTTACGTCATTTGTACAGAGGAGTGACCAGGCTGAATCAGTAGTTCTTCACCACGACATTATCCAAAACCCTGGGACAGTATTTCACTTCGAGCTGCAGTGGATCGGATCCACTGCGCGTTGCATTGAAGACTCGCTGCGGCAATGGAGTCGGGCGATTGAAAGGTACGGCCTCAAATTGGTCGAGGCCTATGTCATGGAAATTGGCGACATACGAGAACGCAACGCGTTCCAGTCTTGCTTCCCTTTGCGTTTGGTAATACCGCCACCCATTGTTCCGGGTCTTGAGAAGCGCGTACCTGAAGGAACGCATACAACGCATTACTTCGAATATGCAATTCTCAAACGCTTTGACTTCATCCTCGATGTGGAAGCCACCAACCTATACCCGAAGGATGTAGAGGTCTCCTACTCTTACCGCCGAGCACCTTTCAAACATTCGCAATTTGTGCATCGGTCTGGTGTCGCATTTGTGCAGGTTATAGGCGGTTCGCAGGGACTGCTGTTCCTGACCAACCGTTTGTTGGGTCCAGGTCGCATGGGCAGTGCGATGAAGAGTAAGGAGCAGAGACCTGAAGCTGCGGCGGAAGAGATTCGGATAAAGATGCAGGAGTTCTGCTCAGATGAAGCTGCGTTGATGCAGTTTTATGATGAGGAGCTGGCTGCTCTTGGGCCGGACGACCCTCCACCACTTAGTATATGATGTGTTCGGTGCATTGTAATGCAGGCAATAGTTTGTGAACGAACATCCACAGAATACGTCTACCGATTTACGAGACATCATGAGCACTGACTATCATATCTCGACCATTAGACCGTATAGATCGTTGTGCCACGTCGCGTGACAAACATTTTCGCATATCTGTCAGACATGAGTATGGTCCAAAGTACCATTGCAGGCATACGCACCAAACGCGTCCTCCTCGTCTCGTCCATCCTTCCCTACCCCAAGATTACCGTAGTATTCTCTTACTCGCCTGTACACGCTATATCCCATACCCTCGTACATTTTGATGGCTAGTGCATTGTTACAGCGCACATAAAGATCCACGAAGTACCCTTTGTATATCCCGTCTGAGGCAAATTCGAGACGCTGGCACATGTTTCGTGCTAGAGAGAGACGACGGTACTCTGGAGCAACCGAAACGGCTGTAATGTGACCATGCCATTCGGTTTGTACACCTTCAGCCTTGCCAAGAACTTTCAAGACGTGTGATTTGTATCGGCTGAGGACACGAGGGAGATGGACGCACTGTAGCCTTGCAACCGGCCTCTTGGGCTTTCTTGAGTGAAACAAAGGTCTGACCACCTTTGAAGGTAAGTTAGATAGAAGGGAATACCGTACTGTTAAAAACTATGAGCTAGATCCATGGTCGAAGGTATGAGAGACTCGCAGTCTCCGTCCAGACGTCCAAATTGCTGTGATTTTCGTTCAATACACGACGGCAAGTTCAAAAAATGTCAGACTTGCATGTTGTTGAACCTGAACAGATCATTCGCTTTGAAGGGCCTGAGGACGCTCATCGTGATGAGGTTTATCTCGTTTCGAGAACAAATGAAATTGTCACTGTGTTGAAGAAGAAAGGAAGCGGGCGCTGACGTACATACTAGTATATCAGCTTATACGGTAAGGCCATGTATTGAGTACTTCTAGTCCAAATTCAACCTATAAGTAGTACCCTCAACGTTGAGACTGACATGAGCCATATTAGAACGGTACCGAGCTACCTAGTTAGGACTAAGCCCATACAATAACAATAATAATAATACAGCGGTACTAGTAGTTTGCTGGTGTTCCAACGGTTAGAAAGAAGCTGATTTGCTCGGATACACAGTATTCTGAAGAGCCGCAGGGTCGACAAGCTTCTGCCGCAAATGATACATGAACATCTCTGACCAGATCTGCACATCGTCTTCGAATCAACGTTGAAAGAAGATGAAGTAAGTATCCCAATTCGTGTCGACAGCCTCGGTTCCTAATAAAGACAAACACCTGCTAGCAGTGCACGGAGTCCTAGCAAATTCTGCACTCAACCACTCTCATACCTACCCAAGACCCCAGGGCCCTTCGCTGTAGCTGGCTCGATTTCTGACATTTGCAATGTATCAACAGTTCCCTGCTTCATCATCCAACGATTATGGCCAAATGATAATGTCTGCACCCGCTGCAGGCCCTAGTACTGTAGCACCACATGCAACTACTACAGCTCCACAACCAGTGACGCCAAAGCCGCAGCCCCTTGTGGCGACCGGTAATTGGACGACTGAACTCGTCCAGCTTGCCAAGACTGCTGAACTCAAGTGAGTTTTGCGCGTTATTAAACTAGATTGGGTTCGTCATTGCCTCAACATCCGGTACTGAACTAGCTGTGGGCAGAAAACATTCCCTGACATTGCAACTGCATACCGCTAATATAGTTGCTGCCCATAATACCCTCGAACAAAAGGATAAGACAATTCAGGACATCAAAGAACAAAAAAATCGGTATGAATAACCTTTTCGATGATTCGACCAATCTATCACATTACCTTTCCCAATCCATCATGACCGTGTCTGATTCGTCCATTTTTGATATCTCGCGTGCTACTGACGGTTTTTGCTAATTGCCCTCTGGCAGATTGGACAGCGAACGTGCACGATTACTTAACGCACTCGCAGAGGTATATATTCCGTCACAGCTTATGTTATTATGCTGATAACAGTTATTTTGCTGACAGATAAATGCAGACCGTGACAAGGTGCGTTGGATCGTCGGTATTAAACGTGCCATTTAAGGATGGTATTGCTCACATGCTATCTTTCACCTTTCCCCAAAGGTGGATCTCCTCGAAGCATCCATCACACGAGAGTACGTATTCTTCCCACGTCTCTTATTCCCCCGCAGTGTGTCCTAATCCACTCCACTGTGTAGGTGTGTGGATCTAAGGCAACAAATCCAAACCCTCCAAGAAGGTGAATATGCTATCGCAAAAGCGGACGTTGATCGCTTGCGGACCGAGCTCGGCCAGCCCCCGCTCCCCCCACTCCAAACTAAGCTTGATGAGAAGACGTCTCAGTAAGTCCAAGTTCCTTCCGGCTGTAATTTGAGGGAACTTCTGCCCGGCTCTGTGTGTGCGCCGCAGCATGTTTTTGGCGATCGGCGGCCCGCCACAGGAGTGTACTGGTCCTGTCGCACGGCGGGTTCGGGTGCATTCTCTGGGGATTGTAAACCGCCGCCGCCTTGCGTAGTCTTCGTGAGCGTGTGCTAACTACTTGCTATTTCCTAAATAGGTATTTGCGTGATCGTCGGGTAAATGGGGAGAAACGCCCTGTAAGCGACAGTCAGCCAGATCAACAACCTAGCACCACGAAACGCCCACGAGGTCGACCTAAGGGTAGCAAAAACCGTGGTGGCAAAGCAGGTGGCAACGCACCTAGCGGAAGTACGAGTGCTAGCGGAAGTGCAGTGGCTGGTGGCACTGCATGATTGACGAGTGACAGGTGACAATGGCCGCAGCTTGGTATGTAATTGCTTAGCGAGCGTGAAGGAAGGAAAATCATTTTGTGGGCCGCAAACTTACGAGCTGGTTTTGAGTTTTCTTCGCTTGATTGATGCGGGCTTTAGTGACTTGGGGGCTAGATGCAGGGACAGCTAGGGACGGATGATGATGTGGGTTCTATCATATGGATTCCTGTGACTACAAGTTGTACTATATCACATACATACATGATAAATGACTTTATTGAACTCCGTGACTGATCGATGATGATCTGCTCCCCTGGGATGCTGTGTTATAGCCCATATTCATTTCAACGACTATCTTTGTGCCTTGGCGTGAGCGCTGGAGTGATTCTCCTGACGACCACGCTAGGTAGTTCAAGATGTGACTCCGCATTAAGATCGACTCCGTCCATGACTACGAATGGGTACTACCAGACATTCCGACTGAGATACCGGAAGGACCACATGCGTTGAATACGCATGATAATGAACGGAGGTGATAAAACACCGCACTTGATGGACGTACGGTTCCTTGGTCTTGTATGATTGTGAACAGGCCAAGTGTTCCTGTGGAAGTGGCTTGAAATGCCCTTGGCATAGTATATCGGAGGACGCCACACGCCCATTGACATGGGATCGTACATGATTTCTCTATGCAAGTAATGAAGATACTGAGTATTAGATTTGACGATGTGTACATCCGACTTGGATGGGCAGAAGCTTTGATCTGATACAGGGTACGAACTTGTATTGGTAAGTGGAGTGAGTGAGTCATCTTCCCCGCAACAATCGCAGCCAAGGGTGGTAAATCGTCGATGGATGTCCCTTCTACACGGAACCCGTGTCAGCATGACTAGTTGCTTCTACCGTACCGGCCGTGGTACCCGACACGTTCCTACTGATGATTCTGGTGGTAAGATTGCGCTCGGAAGCTCTGTTGAAGTGGCGGGAAATTATAACTTATTATAAGTACTTGAACAGAAGATTCCATATTAGCGTTATACAGGTATACTTATACTTAACTCGGGTAAATATTGTACCCTCTTTCAAGCCGAACTAGTGCATACTTACTACCTGTGAGCTCACTCACTGACACTGTTCGCATTGTCCCCATCGGAACGTAAACCAACCGGCGGCAGCGCTGGTGCACGCTCGTATCGGCTAATGACACTGCGATTGTTACGGTGCTGTGCCGCGTCTTGCCGAATTTAACATTAAATCCAAATTGGGATGTAATTGTAAGCCCTTTAACGGCAGCAGATTCGTGTTCATTCACCGACGCCGAGTCACAACCACAGCACAACTGAAAGCCGAAACCGATTATGCAATACTCCGGCCCTTCCTTTCTAATCGCTCATGTCAACTTGTCCCTTTTCGTAAGTAACCGATCCGGCTCTCTTGCTGTTCCTCCCATCCGGTGTCCCTTTATATACCACACGATCCATCCAACATGAATACCCCACTGAGCCATCCTCGCTTCAAGCTCTCTCTGTCATCATCATCCATATACTTCAGACAGCAACAGCAATGGTCTCTTCTCCAATCCACAAGGCAAGCCTTGTAGACCCTGCTCTACATTCTCCTGCTCTCCTCGAGCTCCTCGAAATAAAGCTATCACGACCTGTTATCGGTATGTCATATTCCACTTTGCAATGTCCCATCCATCCTAACAATGTTTCCAGAATATGTCGTTGATTGCGTAGTAGACACAGTCAACTATGCCATGGGTCGTCCATCATCATCTCATCGTGGCCGCAGCGTGTCTCGCCGCCCAGAGCACACCAAATTCACCACATTTGTCACAAATGTTCTCACTAGAGCAGAAGTCACACTCCCTACACTTCTTGTCTCCCTCGTATACATCAATCGCGCCAAACCTCACTTGCAAATCGCTCTAGAGGAGTGGGCGTGCGAGCGTGTCTTCCTTGGCGCCATAATGATCGCTAGCAAGGTACGTTTACTTCAAGTACTTTCTCCCATGTCATCACCCCCTGACTCCACCCTAACAGTTTTCAAACGATTCCACACTTAAAAATGTTCACTGGGCTCTTTGCACCGGCGTATTCGGCAAACGTGATGTCGGCCGAATTGAACGAGAATTTCTGGACGTGCTTGATTTTGATCTGTCAATTACCGAAGATGACATTCTTAGCCATCACGATGGCTTGTCTTCAGTCGCTCTTCCTTCCCACGACTTCCGCAGACTCGCAGATTACTCTCCATCCCACGCGCACTCACAATACAACCGTTCGCACCATGTTCGTTGCCCAGATTTGGATCCTTCTAGCCCCCATTCTTCATCATCTGGGAGCTCCCCTCAGCCACTTACTCCTGAGGCTGTGCCAAACTCTTCATTCAATCCTGCCGTAAAAACACATCATGACGCTATGGAACTCGTGATTCCTCCCCCACCACCCCCGAAGAAGTCGTATCAAGCTACATCTACACTAGACTTGCTGCGCTCGTTTCCTATTCCTGTGCCTCATTCAAGTTCACGTTCTCAGCCGGCTTCCAACAAGCCGCACAATCGTTATTCGCATTTTCCTTTTAAGAATCCAGTGATGCAAGTTGCTGCATAGATATCCTTTATATTCGTTCGATGATCTTATTATTCTCTTCGTAACGTTATTGTGGTGTCGCTATATTTTCAAGACTAATTCCACATCAGCCTCGTGCTCAAAAGCTTATCGTCATACTATCGCAAATACCATGATCCTCATCGTTTATCTCACTCCAACCACATGTTCATCAGATCTGACGTGCAGTGACTCCACTCAATACATCACCGTGAATTTACCACGTTGCAATTAAGTGTTATTGCGTGCACATGATGCAAATCATAAAGCACGTCACTGGTTGACGGTAAACGCCCAACACCCGGGGTCCGATGGGCCTTCTGGCTTCGCATGCTTAGTCGGCTGCGAACAGTCTGGACTTTGGATCTAAGCGAGACGAAGGCGAGGGCCGTGTCACTCTAAAAATTTCCTTGACCACCGGACAATGTTGGTGAATGAATGAAACTCAAATAATGATTGTATTGAAACGCGGAAGTCGTGCGAGAAGTCCAGCCCTACGCAGCATCAATGAAGATTGGTAGTCGCCAAGCACATTGCCTTGTTTTCTTACTTATAGCGCTCGTACATACTTTTACATCATCTACTAGTAGCGATGCGTATACTGTATAAACGGTATCACGGAAACGGAGCTTGTCCTCAACCAGAGTCGCGACTTCTATCATATGCATGGGTCACATTCCATACAACAAATATAATTGGTTTCTCACGAGGAGAATCACGGACACGATGCTGCGAAGGCTCATACTCATATATGCAAGGATACACGACGATCGGACACACGTTGGGCCCGCGAGTCAAGTCACACTAGGCCTGTCGTATTTCAGGAACAACCCTAACCGCGAATCTTCCCGGAATCAGTGGAGTCCGAAGATTAATCACAGGGCTTGGCTTGGTTTTTTCTGGGATGGGTTGGGGGTGTGACCAAGTAATGATAACCTCCAAATGTTATTCAGGGTGTGGGTAGTACCTGAAAGTCCTATGGCTCGGGGCTTGTCTGACATTTATGGCGTCCGAGATCAATGGGAGGGGGCTGATCATGCAATGCATCGCTTTTGGTGGGTTGACTGCATGGTGCGGTCGCAGCAACGTGTGCGGTTCTCGACTGATACTGCGGGAGGATATTGGTCGGGTTGATGCAGCATTCTTTTCACTATGTATATGGCTTACACGAAGGCGCCCGCACTGCCGCATGTCCATGTCCAATCAAATGTCCTTGCCAAACGGCCGATTGGCCTGCAATCTTCAAGTATGTACCGTCCTACCCGGGTGCTATTTCCATCACGAGCGGTTAACTGATAAGCCAGTAACAATTATAGATAGATCGCTTCGGTTGGCGCTGGGGGAGCATATGACCGGTGACCGTTTGCTCGAGTCTCGGTTATTCGACGCAGCGGTGTGTATACTCACCTAAAGCTTGAACGTGGCGTTGAAAGGCTCGAGATATTCAATGTATCCGGCCAGTTGATGTGCCTGGGCGTCCGATTCGGTGGGGTGAAGGGTCTAGGTTTGTCATGTGCTGTTTTGTGAGTGGGCCGGCGCCACAGCATGACCCCCATGCAATAACCGCTGCTGGCTGAACGCCGTTGAGGCAGCGCTTAGTACGCTTTACTATATGGCGGCACCCGAGCTCGTGATATCCTGTGCGTCATGGCCGGAGTGTCGTGTACGTATATTTAATTGATAAGACCAGTCGGCAGTTGTCACGGTGTGGCTTTTGCGTAGTTTTGCTATTCATACCCACTCAACTAACGATACTATAATGGGCTCCCAATGACTTTGCTACGAGCACCGGCTAGTCGACTAGTGGGTTTAGACCTACTACACAGGGCTGTCAATGACAAGCGGGCGTAGTAGTAGTTGCCAAATAGATAGTGTTTTGACTGGTTGGGGTAGTGTGGCCATTGCGTATTTTTGCCATTAATCGCTCGATCCGTATACCCTGACAGGATGCACATATGATTGAGCGGTTCCGTGGCAGTGGCAACTAGTACTGGTAAGTAGGTGCCGATCATCTGTCCTGTTTCATATTTGCAATTACCTTCTACTACTAGTCAAACGTTATGTTAACGGGTTTAGTGGCGTATCATTGTTCGAACTGAGGTGAGATAGCACGAGATACGTTCCTTAGACACCCTTAAGCTTCCCGCATACAGACATTAGTCTAGATCCTAGCGCCTAGCGCTTAGTCTCCTGCTTCCCTTGATACTGTCAACCGGGTCTTCCCCGCACACGTTATCATGTCAAGATTCGCAAGAATAGATCTAGAAAGCTAACAGAACGCGCCATTATCTACGATCCACGTCAGGAATAGCGACCCCTGCTATCGTAATATTACATTCTTCAAATCCACCCAATAAAACCCTTTACATTAGGGGATGTAGATCTTCGAATACCCATCCACGCTGAAGTAAATGAAACGTCAATTCCAGCCTTGTTACTGCCCTGTAAAGATACTCACTTTCTTCGACAGCAAGGGCACGTGTGTGTAGATGCGGACGAACGTGACGCAAGATTTTCGCGGCAGTCGTCACACACCGCTAGACATCTGCCGAGCAGTCAGTCTCACATGAATTCCAAAAGAAATCGCGCCTTGTTACTCACCGACATGGCCAACATATGATTTGCCGTGGCTCGACTGTGCATATCACGCAGTTTCTCATTGTGTCCTGCGAGTCTTCATGCATTCCAGTCCCGCTGGAAGATGATCGTCGGATTGCAGCAACGTCCGACCAGTCGCTCAGGAAATCGTCACTGCGTTGAGAAGGCGCCGACATCAGGTGTTCGAATCGTTGTCTTGTCATGGGCAATGTCGAATTATGGATCATATGCGCCATCAAGACCGAGGTAGAAGTCATGGCTGAGGGAGTGGAAGAGAGGTCCGAAAACAAGTTGACAATCTCGTCTGTTACTTGCCCTGGAACCTCTTCTCCTTCCTCCTCTTCCTCCTCGCTGTCATGCTCGGACCCCGATGGAGTAGGGCTAGTGAACCCGTTCCGTTCTGTTTCCGAGGGGTGATATTCAAAATCTTCATCGTCTTCGTCCATGGATTCTCCCCTAATGAATCGTCTGTACAATTCTTCTTGTTCTTCGGCCTCTTCAGCATCTAACCCTTGAGTCTGCTCACTTGTGGTGGCCTCGTTTCTGACCACTATACGTCGAGGAGGGAAGTTGGGCGGCTTTCGCGACCTCCGTCTGAGTGCATTCCATGATTTCATTATCAGCCCTCTGGCACATTGCACCAAACTCATTCCGAGTCTTGCAAGATCCCTGCACCAAGCTGTATCAAACCAGATATCTCCTCCAGTCGTTGTGACCTTGATGGTCTTGACTTCATTGGTAAAACCCTTCTTGAAACGACGGTGTTTGATGGAGCCTTCGACAGCTGGGGCAAGTGAAACCACCCCCAATCGATTCAGTTCCACGGTTCCATCGTTCAGGGGAAGTGGCGTGACCGCAGTAACACCGCCCACTTGATTCCCAAGGCCCAATACACTCGAGGCCTCGAGGCTTGCCGTACCCATGCGTAACAATGCAACCGAGAAGTCTTCATCCCATTGCGGAAGAAGAGCAGCTTGGTGGCCAAATAGGAGACGAGAGACTTTACCCTCCGTAGCAATTTGGGTAAAGGCATTGAGGAATAGAGCCAGAAATATGACGGCTAGAAGGGAAGATTCGAACAGGCAAGGCACGTAGCTGAGCAGAGGATAAGATGAGTCCGATAGCCATAGAACTGAATGGAAGTGGATGAGCGCAAGAAGCGACACAAACGCCGATGGAAAGAGGCGATGGGACGACCAATCTTGCTTAATCCCAATCAAGTGGATGATTGTGAGCTAGAAAGGGTTGTTAATTATCATCCCACGAAGCGAGGTAAGCCAACGAACCTGAAACAAAGGCAACAGAATAGTAAGTACAACATGCTTGTCTGGCCGTGAAGTCGAGCCCTCAAGCGTTATCCAGTGAGTCACTGGGGAAGAGTATGTGTGCAAAAGAAAAGCATAGCCAAGCTTTTTTCTTCACGTAAGTGAGTGATCTTGCACATTACGCTAGAACCGCACCAGATTAAATGGAGAAGGGCGGTGTGCCCCGCCTTCTAAACCATGTGTTAGTCCTTCCATGCATAAAACACCACAGACAGCGCAAAAAGTGGACCAGCAGAGGTCCGCCGTTTCTCTCTTGGCGGCATAAGTCCCCGCTGACTGCAACCATGACAGGTTCCACGTTGGAAACTTGTCTGCTGCTTGAGCGAGAACGATAAGCCATATAACGACCATCTTGGAAACGAAGTATAGCGAGGGCGAGCGTAGCACAAAACGAGTTACTGAAGACGATAGATCTAGAGGGAAGATAGACGGGATAGCAGAGTATGGGAATGCGCGGAGCCTTGTAGTGCGAGTGAAACGGTTGATGAATTCATCCCTGGGCACTACGATGTTCCGTATACGATGTAAGAGAACCGCCTAGTGCAAAGTCAGTAACAGAGCACATTACTTGCGGGTATAACACACCATAATGATCAATCCAAAAACATACCAAGATATCAGAAAGCTCCATGGACCCGGTAAAGGGGTAGATACGGGTGGGGGAGGAGACTGTGATAACAAGAATTCATCGGACAGGTCATGCTTAACTCCGAAAGCGAATAAACTCTCGGAGCTGTGCACCCATCTGTCATCTGTGCCCAATTTCCGTATACGACCTAGCAATTGGACTGGGAAGGTCAACAGCGTGACAGATGCCTGGATAACACTTGACTTTGCAAGTCTGAACACTTCGACTGTAGCATTCGCCAGCATCGTGTTCAGTTCAAGAAAAAGAGAATGATAGAAACAGCCAGCAGTTTAGCCTCGTTGTTAAAACCGTCCCATGCCGGGACTCCGCTGGTGTATAAGTGATGCAAGGCTGCAACGCGCAGTCGCCTTACTTTAGTTATCTTTCGCTTAGTCAACAGTGCGCTTTTACTAAATTTGCCTTTTCGGCGTAAATAGCACCCAAGGTTGAAGATACTTACATGCTCGCAGTAGCATACAGAAACATATGCAGGCACTCCGGCACGCACAAGGAACTCCTGAAATCCTTTGCTATTTCCAAATGTGCGCGTAACTTTTCTATGACGCGCAATTTTGATCCTACTATCCGTGAATTCGTGTCTTGTCTCGCGCAGAAACAGCCGAGCTTCAAGGTAGCGTCGAAAGACGTGCGTGTGCTGTCACAGCCTTCTGACTTTTACGCAAATCTGCTTGTAAGCATTCGTATCTTGTCTTTATGAGACTTTCCGACGGTGTGCATGCTAGAACATCATCCGTCGTGCACGGCGGCGGATTTTTCTATCGTCATTATACATTGGTTTCTCGGAGACAGAGCTGGTAGGCACATCATGCATTCTGCGACAAAGAGAGTTTTCCTGATAGTCACCAGATAAACGCTCTAGACGATGCACTTCGGACGAATCCTGGTCTGCACCTCTACTTAAACTTGGACTATAACCGGTCAACTCGACCTGGACCATCGTCTCCCATTCTCTCCCTTCTTCCCCTCCTACGGAACTATGAGCATAGAGTACATATATCCCTATTTCGGAGTCCAAAGCTCAGTGCAGCGATGTCAAATATAGTCCCTCCCCGATTCAACGAAGGTTGGGGCACCTGGCACGCCAAAATTTACGGTTCTGACGATGAAGTTATGATTAGCGGGTCAGTCATTTGGAACTCAAAAATGCTGAGCTGACAAAATAACAGAGCGAACCTGAACAAGGCATATTTCTCGAATAGACAAGATCGGTATCTGCATTTCAGCGCACAACCTGCTCTTGCAGATTACTGTTTCTCATTCTTGCAGGCCGTCTCTGGTTTTTCGTATCGAGTGCTGGCAACTCCAGATGGACATGCCCTTCATTGGGACGACACGTCTGTTTTGCCGTGGCAGATCCAGGCCAAGGCAGAACGTGTGTTGTCACAGTTTCAAACGAAACATCTGTTTTCGTCCGTGTCCTCTACCAGTGAAGAACAGACAAATTCGTCGGATGTAGTCATCTTTCCTGTGATCCAAGCTGGACAATTCAATATCCGAGAAGAAGAGCATACTCTGTCGATGCTCTTCGATCACTTGGCATCTCGCGAAAACCGCTCTGATCAAGAACCTATTATGAATCTGACAAGCGGCTACTTTGGACTGTCCAAGGAATACCAAGATCTTATTTTGAAATCTAACGTTGGATGCAGTATCATAGCAGCCAGTCCGAAGGTGATTTTTTCCCAAGATCAGCACGCTGATCATGATGTAACCTGCGTTCTCAGGCAAATGGTTTCTACGGGTCTGGAGGCCTGTCTGGACTCATCCCTGAGGGATATACCCTATTGGAGAAACGTTTTATGTCGGCAGTAAGAGCCGCGAGCCGACCTTGTTCAAATAACCACAATGTCAGCCTTAAAGAGTGGGAAAGGGCTGGTTGGACGTACCACGCAAAAGGTCAGTGCTTGGCTTTGGAGCGTTGTCAAATCTCATGTCGTCCATTCAGGAATTTGGCTTTCTCCTTCAGTAGATTCACCGCCAGTCCTCACGCTTTTTGGGTCGACGAACTTGAACTCACGTTCAACGAACCTTGACACAGAGCTGTCTTTCGTGATGGCGACCTCGTCAGATGAATTACGTCAAAAATTACAGGAGGAAATTAAGGGACTGCATCGTTGGGCGGTGCCTTGGAAGGGCGGAGAAAGAAAGGTCAGGTGGCGCACGAAAGCCATTGTGGCTCTCGTCGGTGGTATGTTGTAGCCGATCACAGTTGTCGCTGTCATCTCGCATATTTTCTGCCGTCACACATCCGAGTCGATGCCACATGGCCCAGCTTGCTGTGACATCGGCTTTTCAGTATCCAAACTTACAAAACTGACTTTCGCAGTTCAGTTTACTTTGTCAGGAACGGCAACAGGGTCAAAGAAATTGATGAAGAAATGACATTGTTCACGCACACGAACACTACGGAACGTTGACCTGCGAATCAGTCATGCCTGGATTGACACTGGCAGCAGATCTCGAGCCAGCAGCATCAGCCGTTTGATTCTTGGCCTCTTTATTGCGGTTCTCACTCGATTTCTTGTTTGTACCCCCTGAAACGGCAACATACTCAAACTTCCGAGTATCCAACGTCAGAGTAACAGGTCCCTATGCAGACAGCATGTATCACCGCATAAAAAGCTCGAGTAGCGATACGCCATACCTCGTTTGTCAACGATACATCCATCATAGCACCGAATTGCCCGTCTGGAAAGTACATTAACCACGTCATCGTGCATCGACTAGAACGAAGCTAACCTTGTATTCGATCCGGCACGTACAGACGCCGCATTTTCTCGAGAAACGTTGCATACAGTTCTCTGGAGGCATTCGAGGACTGGAAAAGCAATGCAATCGGCGTTAAATTATCAAGAAATTGAGATATGGCACACCATCGCACGGTGAAAATCAGGTTTGTTGCCTTTGGTAGTGTTCGCCATCAGCGTGAACTGGGAGACGCAGAGAACCTGGCCAGCGATGTCCTTGACGTTGGACTTCCACATTGAACCATTCGCATCAAAAACGCGGATGTTAAGTCTATTGCTAGTGGTCAGTGCGGAGGACAAGGGCCGAGGATACGCTCATCCTTGCATTTTGTTGGCCAATGTTTCGACATCCGCAAGCGTGTCATCTATCCTGTGCGAATACTCGTTGGCTGTGTATCTGCACAGGATACATATCCATACCAATACCGATTCCAACTAAGACCATCAGTCCTCGGGATATGCTTGAGATCACATCTCCGTCGACTGCGATGCAGATTAGGTACATTAGCTGTGATGGATTTGCTAATAATTTTTACCTGATACCGAGGCCGATGCGACGCGTTGAACAACAGCTCTCATTTTGTGCTATGCGGCGGGCCGTCGATGCTAGCGCTGACCTAGGGTGATGACAGTCCGACAATAAGATTGATTACATGATAGAGTACTGAGGATTATTGACTCATTAATCATTCGGGAAAGCCCCGCGGGTAGTTGCTATCTTTAGATTATCAGGTACATTGTTCTCAGGCTTATGCCACTATGACATTGCAACATTTTCACGTCGCGCAATCCACTGGATTAATAAATATTGTAAGCCGTCTGTGCATCCCCGGAGCTCGATGTATGACTCATGTGCATGATGTATTTAGCACTCGTACTATCATGACATGTTGATTGAACGGCCGAAATATGTGAGTACATACTGATGAGTCAATAGTCACTGATACCCATCGAGGAATCAGTGGTATAGCCACGTCAAAAAGATGGCAGGATGATACGACAGCCTGCCGGCAGTAACTCATACACTCGGACACTCCACCGGGATGCATCACCGTCGGCTCTTACTTATGCCTGGTCGCGGCAAAACGCATACTAGGTACTCGGACATCTGCACGACGAGTACGTACTGTCACAGGATCAGGGGAAACAGCTGTGGTACTAGGTTTGTAAGACATGACTTACTACTTCTTTATGTAAGTTTATCATGCTCTCATCATATTACAGATTGGGTTGGGTGGCTTCAAGTTGTCATTTCCTGGATTCCGTTACAGCTCAGTCAGCATGAGTTTTCGTCATTCATCACATTTGTCATCTAATAACGATTCGATCTCAGGGCGTTTTCTTATGATCTGGAGGTCAAAAGCAGGCTATCTCCGTTAAACACAGGATGACGTGGGTGATCACTAGTGATCTTCAACTGTTCAATCGAAAAAAAACGGTTTGATGCGGGGTACGGGGATCTCCGACTCGCATATCATCAAATTTGTTTCCATGTCTCGCAACAACTGCTCATATTATCGCAGATCATCGGGACCCTGGTGGTACATGCCTGTCGGTGCCGGATCTTTGACTTTACGGTAGATCAGCGCGCAAATATCACTGAAACGGGGACTGCCTTTTTCGCTTTTGAAATCCGACATAAGTCCGTGCTGGGCGTTCGTACCTTTGGTGTCATCTTCAACGTCCCGTCGCGTAGAATTATCGGCAGCGGGATAGGTCCGAACCCACTGACATTGACCTTGGGAAATGCAGCCAGTCCGTAAAGAGCACACTTGCGATTTGCGAGGAAGATATTATTCGGATAAATGCGAGCCAGTGAGTGATTCCCTCGAATGGACCCAGGCCAGGGGGACGAGCCTGGATGTCTATGTCTGGTTTAGAAATTGGGTGAACGTAAATCTGACTGACACAAGGTCTGAGACAAAGTTTCTCGGACAATCAAGACGTGGGTGTATGCAGCAAGAACGGCATGTTTCGATGAAGCCGAGAAGAGCGTCCATGGTTGCATCGTATGTTCATTCCACTATCGGATTAAACTCATCAATGCATCAAACTCCTGACCGGTATTACACGCTTCTTGGACATGATCTTGCGCCAGAACGGTAGCTACGCCAGTTCCGTCATCTCTCAGGATGCTGGACCGCCAAGCACCGCAAGCATTGGCGGTTCTGCCATGACATTCTCGCCGTCAGACCATTTACAGAGGCGTGACTCCTTTTCCTTTGCTGCTGGTGCTTCTGATATGGCCAGCATGAGTGGGTATGATTACAAGAGCCAGGACGGTACGACAGACCTCGACGACGTGAAGAGCCAGTATGCGGGGACACAATCGGGCGTGACTGTATTCTAGATGGCGCGAGTTATTCTACTGCCGCGGATCCTATGCGCGTGCTCTATGATTGCGCGAGCTGGTATGTGTGGGATTGGTTCGTGGCTGGTGACGCCACGGCCAGCTAGGCCAGCTCCTTTGCACTTCTTGTCGCATCTTGGCAGCCTGTCGGTGTCTCCAGGTGATCCCTTTTCTTAGAGCGAGCCGGCGGTTGTCATGCGACAGTCTCGTCGCGTGCGCGAATGTTACGGTACATCCGTATGTCTGCATAGTGGTCCGCGTGCTGCTCTCCGCGTATGCGGTGTTTGACGTTTTAAGTATTTTATGCTTATGCTGAAATCAAGACATGCAACAATGCACTATGTTTCTTGTATGCGACAGTCGATGGATGCTTTGTCAATACATTAGGTTGGCCATGCAAGTATGGGATAAGGTTACATATCATTGTGTGCTCTGTTAGCGCAAGCAATCCAGAAAATTAGGTATGACCGGTGAACGAGTGGTATCTATTCAGCCGAACGAGAGGATGCTGCATATGATGGTAGTCCTCTACCGGGAACATAATCGAATTGCATAAGTATCCGATGGATCCAGTGACATCTATTCCGGCGAAAATGCTCAAAAGGGACAAGAAGCCTAGCGGGAACCTGAAGTGGATCGTGATAAACATGGGAGGCACTTTGCGAGAACTGCAAAGCAGCTGATGTGTGGGGCATGTGCGACGTCTAGTGAGGAAGAGGGTCTGGTACTTCCAGTTTGCAACGGCGCAGTTTCATTGATCGCATTGGATGTCTCCGCTGGTGACGTGCTGCTGCTTGAGGCACTAGCGTGAGCTTGCAAGTTGCGAGGAGGACGTTGTAGCCGCAACAACTTGTCCCTTTTTCCACTGTGGGCATTAGCGGTGCGCTGCGAGAAAATATCAACATCACTACATGGATATCGAAAAGTCAGCAAAGCTTACATATTTGCCTCGTGTTGCAGAGATGTCCACAAGGGGAACCCCGTGTGGGCGAGGAGTTTGGTCCTGGGAAGCGGAGGAGTGAGAAAAGATGCGATCTACCACGTTTTTGATTTTGGAGCCTTTGGCGTTGCGCGTAGTGCTGGAGTGATTGTTGCGTTCAGTTGGATCAAACTGTCAAAGGATAGTGAGACGTACATCAGATCTACTGTATCATATGGACTTACATCATCGAAGAATCTATTAGTCGGTATTGGAGCGCGTTTTTGGCAAGGCCATGGGTCTGGGATGGTTTTCTGCAGGACTGAAATTAGGGATTGTAAAAAACAACGAGCGTGAAAGCGGCGTACCTGGAGAATTTTCTGAGTGGACTACATGAGAGGTCAGCGGGCATGAAGTAGTATGATACGACGGGATAATTTGCTCACCTGTTGGAGCGCCTTCTCTGACTCATTCAGAGGAACTGTCCATGTGCGAACATGGTTGTCAACACAGCCAGTCGCGATGAGTTTGCTGTCCTCGGAAAATGCCACACACCAGACTTCATCAGGGTGCTCGAGTGGCTCGCCGATGGGTTCGAAAGTGGTCAGGTCAAACAACCGCGTCGTCTTGTCATATGATATGGTGGCTAATTTGGTGCCATTGGGAGCAATAGCTAGTGAGCAAAAGGAGTTGGTAGTATGCGCGTCAAACTGTTTGATGATGTCTCCGGTGGTAGCATCTGATATTCGGATGTCTCTCAGGTTTCCACTGACGAGACTGAGACCATCTGGAGTGAATACGACTCTGTATGCCCGCTGTTCTATTTTCAGCAACTCTTCTCCACTTGCTGAATTCCAAATGATGATGTGCTTATCTGTGCCTGCTGCTAGTTTTGTCCCATCCGGGGAGTACGACACCGAGTTTGCTATGTTGCCCACTTTGAGTGGTCCGAGAACTATTTTTCCCGTCTCCCTCTTCCACACGCATACTGTTCGATCCCATGATGCACTTGCAAATGTCTTGTTGTCCGGTGCAAATGCGATGCCCTGAACCGCATTCTCATGGCCCTTAAACGAGACGGGCACTCTTTTGAGCTCTCTCTTGTTTGTCGCAACTTCCCAGACCAGGATGCTTCCATTCACTCCTCCACTCGCTATCCAACGTCCATCAGGGGACGCCGAGACCACCCAGACTATGTCATCGTGTCCCAATAAGGGCTCTCCCAGTTGTTTCCCTGTGTCCAGATCCCACACCCGAAGACTCCTGTCGGCCGAGCCAGTGACGAGGAGACGAGTACCGAGGATGAAAGCTACTTCTTGCACAGCTTCCTCATGACCCTTGAGGAGTGTCAGTTCAACAGGCTGGGCGGGCGTTTTTGTGGATGCTTTGTGGGTGGTGACCGCCATTCAATCTTGTTCGGTGTCTCGGTTAGCAGGAATACAGAATACTGAGGAAACAGCAATCACTTACATGCGCTATGGTGAGTAGTCGTCAAGTTGCATCTTCTGTAAGATGCTGACTATCGCTGAACCCTTTGCTGTAGACACGTGGCGTCCTGCATACGGTTTAGCAACGTCTTCAGCGCTTCTTTCAGGAGTTTTTTTCAGTAGGCGCCGTGGTCCTTTTCAACATGTTTCAACATGTTGTCACTGCCCGGTCATGTCCAAGTCAGTCGACCCGAGATCTCTTACATTTATCTTGTACTGACAAGTGATGACATGAATGTAACGAATCAATCGCTTGATACTGGTTGGCCGTGGTGATAGTACCTCCAGGTAAGGCTGAGGGAGAATGAGATGTTCGTTCCTGCCAGCATCATTGATTCTTGAAAGTGGCAGCTTTGCTCCATTGCATAGTTTCTCCTGAGCACTGCAAGCCAATTTATTCCGCGATTACAAGTTTGACCGCCATGCGGACACAGTGCGAGAGATGCTGAACTGGCCCATATACGTTAGGCATACAAACTGCTATCGATATAGCGTGGACGTCGAACTGGTTAAGGACTGTTGCAGCGTCTCCAGACAGGTAGTAGATTATGAGTGGAGCGTCCGACGGAAGCATCCCTGATGATCACCACTGAACAGAGAACGCTGGCTGCGGGTAGAGGAGTGTGAAACGAGCTCCTGTGCGTCGTTGTGCTCTTACTGACCAGTCTGTAGTGGTGAATGAACTTTGTCCTTCCAATACTGTGACTCATGAATATCACTGCATCAGTACTTACAGAATGGTTCTCGCCGACAACATCTATACCCTGGTCACCGTTGGCAACGGCATCATACGAGACTGCAACTGTATCAGATTGTTGGGACTCTGGCTGATGACACTAAGCTAACATGGAAAACGTTGAGATACGAACAGTAGTTATTGGACATAACAATTTGGCTTTCCTTTATCAAGCTGGGGTGGTTGTGTAGTGCTCTCCAGTGGATTCGTTAAGATCTAGGTTGCACTTTCAGCAAGTGCTTGAGTCGAGATTGTGAGGATATCGATGGCACCGACCAAAACCGCGGTCTTTTGATAGTCTGAGGTGGTGTAGGCTGCCTAGGCATGCGAGATCGGAGTCTTGACTGCTGTTTTCGCGTGCTGTCCAGAGTTCGCGAAAGGAGGATGAGAAAATCCTATTTCGAATAAATGTTGTGTATCATAGTACAATTGCAGTCGTTTATCGGGAGTAACATCGATTTGCATAAGTATTTGAAAGAAAATAAATGCGGCAGTTGTATCTATGCCAACGAAAAGGTTCGGATAGAAGAGGCCGTTTAGCGGGTGTGGGGAGTGGCGGGACTTATTCGTCGAGTATGTGAATGACGCAGGAAGCACCTTGCGAGAGCTGCAAAGCAGCTGATGCCTGGACCACATTCAACATCCAACGGGGAAGGGAGATTGCTAGCTTTCTCCACCGTGGACATTAGCGGTGCGCTCCGGGGAAGTGTCAAAGTATGGCCCTGGGGAGCGGGAAAAGAGACGGTTCATGATGTTCTTCATCCCGGACCCCTCAGCGTGACACGTGGTAGTAGCAGCAGGATTGTTACGTCCAGGTGGAGGATGTGGATCAAACTGTCAAAGGATGGTGAGACGTGCATCGAATATACTGTATCGTATGGATTTACATAATCAAAAAACCTACTAGTAGGTATACCGTATTGGAGTACGTCTCGGTTATTGATGTAGGATGGTTTTCTGCAGGACTGAAGTTAGGGATCGTACAAAACAACGAGTGTGAAAGCGTACCTGGAGAATTTTCTCAGTGGACTATATGACAAGTCAGTGCGAAGCATGACATGACGAGAGAACTTGCTCACTTCTTCGAGTTCCTTCTCTGACTCACTCAGAGGAACTGTCCATGTGCGGACGAGCTTGTCCTCACAGCCAGTAGCAATGAGCTGGCTGTCCTCGGAAAATGCCACACACAAGACGACATCAGGGTGCTCGAGTGGCTCGCCGATAGGTTCGAATGTGTTCATGTCAAAGAACCGCGTGGTCTTGTCGGTTGAAGTGGTCGCAAATTTGGTGCCATTGGGAGCAACGGCTAATGATTGACAGGGTTTGTTGTGCGCGTCGAACTGTTTTATTATGTCTCCAGTGGCAACATCTGTGATTCGGATGTTATTCCAGTCCCCACTGATGAGACGGAGACTATCTGGAGTGAATGCGACTCTGTATGCCCGCTTTTGTATCTTGAGCAGCTCTTCTCCATTCGTCGCGTTCCAAACGATGATGTGTTTGTCGGTGCCTGCTGCTAGTTTTCTTCCATCCTGAGAGTACGAGATTGAGTTTGGCAGCTCGCCCAGTCGGAGCGGTCCGACAACTATTTGTCCCGTCTCCCTCTTCCAAACACATACTGTCAAGTCATTCGATGCACTTGCAAATGTCTCGCTGTCTGGCGCAAATGCAAGGCCCCGAAGCAGAATTTCATGGCCCTTGAACGAGACGGGCTCTCTCTTGAGATCTGTCTTGTCTGCTGCAATTTCCCAGACCAGGATACTTCCATTCCATCCTCCACTTACAATCCAACGCCCATCGGGAGACGCTGCGACCTTCCAGACTGCGCAATCGTGATTCAACAAGGGATCCCCCACTTGTTTCCCTGTGTCTAGATTCCACACCCGAAGAGTCTTGTCGGCGGAGCTAGTGACGAGGAGATTCGTATGAGGGATGAAAATCACCCCGGACACCCATTCTTCATGACCCACGAGCGTGAGTGTGGGCTGAGATATTTCTTCTTGAGCTAATGGGGTGGGTAGTTTGGACGTCCTGTCTTTGCGAGTGGTGGCCGCCATCTAATATTCAACCCTGTTCGATGTGTCGGTCAGCAGGAACTTTGAATGGGGGAGCCCTCGCGCGCTATGGTGAGTGGCGTTCAAATTGAATATTTATATCCTACAGGTCCTCCCTATCGTTGCCAATGTATCCACATGTCGGCCTTGCTGCAGACACGTGGCGTCCCGCATACAGGTTGTACGTTATCCATACTTTCAGCGCGTCTCGATTCTTCCGGTGCTTGACTGTAAGCAAGTTGTCCTCGACCATCACCAACAGCTTGGTCCAGTTTTTATCGCGAATAAATTGAAGAATGCGGCACTCGCTCATCTGATACAATCGCTCTTCGAACAGTTGGTTGTACTTGGCAACAGACCCATTCGTATACATGCGCCCTTGTTTGTCTGCATTCCTCGAACGTGTCCTATGAAGGCGCACTATATAATGGTGTCACTGCTCCCGAACGTCTTCATAATAATGTCGATCCCCTCGCCCTGGGCATCCCGGTATTCCTCTACCAAAACCTTGGTCGGGAGGAAACTTCCTCCAGAAGAACCTCGCTTCTCAATAGGTGCTTCTATATCCTCATCTCTCAGTGATACCTGCTTATCACTGGACGCAGGACAGATGTGCCTGACAATGGAGAAGATTCTGACCAAGTTCTTCAAGCCGGGTGTCATACCTGCCCCAATCTGAGGGCCAGCGTTCCTATATGTAGTTCAACGGGTCTCTCAATAACGACTTGTATAAGAATATCGAACTGGCTAGCGCCGATGACTTCATCATGATTTACAATGTATCGTATTTCTCGTATGCCCCAGTCATTGTAATACACTGGGTTGGCCAACTCCGATGCAACACAATGGGGACGAAGTGCTAGTTATTCGCCAAGCGATATATTTTGGAAGTAACATAAAATTACATGTGTCTTCGAATACTTCGTACATGCATGATATCTTCTCCAACAAAAAAATTTTGGAAGGGAAAGGACACTCAGCTGGCGCGCGGAGCAGCAGGACTAAGACACGGGAAGTACCTTGTAAGAACTGCAAAGCAGCTAATGCCTGGAATATGTTCAATGTCTAATGGAGAAGAATGGTTAGTTGTAGCAGAAGCATTGGCATTTCCGGTCTGCAACGTTGCTGACGCAGTTTCATTGACCACATTGGATGTCCCCGCTGGTGGCGTGCTGCTGCTTGAGACACCAGCATGGGCTTGCTTGCGAGGAGGATGCTGTAACCGCAACAACTTATCCCATTTTCCACTATGGGCATTAGCGATGCGCTGCGAGACAATATCAACGTCGCGAGATGGATGTCGAAAAGTCAGCGAAGCTTACATATTTGCCTCTTGTTGCAAAGACATCCACAAGGCGAACCCCGAGTGGACGAGGATTTTGGTCCTGAGAAGCAGAGGAGAGAAAAAATATATGATCTATCATGTTTTTGATTTTGGACCCTTTGACGTTGCGTGTAGTGTCAGCGCGATTGTTACGACCAATCGGAGAATGTGGATCAAACTGTCAAAGGATAGTGAGACGTGCATCAAATCTACTGTATCATATGGACTTACATCATCAAAGAATCTACTAGTCAGTATTGGAGCACGTTTTGGGCGAGGCTGTGAGTCCGGGGTGGTTTTCTGCAGGACTGAAATTAGGGATTGTACAAAACAACGAGCGTGAAAGCGTACCTTGAGAATTTTCTCAGTGGACTATATGACAGGTCAGCGGGCGTGAAGCATGATATAACGAAAAAATCTACTCACCTGTTGAAGCTCCTTCTCTGACTCGCTCAAGGGAACTGTCCATGTACTAATATGTCCATCATAACAGCCAGTAGCGATGAGCTGGCTGTCCTCGGAAAATGCCACGCACAAGACTTTATCAGGGTGCTCAAGTGGCTCGCCGATAGGTTCGAATGTGGTCAGGTCAAAGAACCGTGTCGTCCTGTCGTGTGACGTGATGGCTATTTTAGTGCCATTGGGAGCAACGACTAGCGATAAAAAGATTCCGACGACGAACTGTTTGATGATGGCTCCGGTGGTAGCATCCGATATTCGGATGTCTGTCAGGTTTCCACTGACGAGATGGAGACCATCTGGAGTGAATGCGACCCGCCATGCCCGCTGTTCTATTTTCAGCAACACTTCTCCACTTGCTGAATTCCAAATGATGATGTGCTTCTCTGTGCCTGCTGCTAGTTTTATCCCATCTGGGGAGTACGACACGGAGTATGCCATGTTGTCCACTTTGAGCGGTCCGAGGACTATTTTTCCCGTCTCCCTCTTCCACACGCATATTGTTCTGTCCAGCGATGCACTTGCAAATGTCTTGTTGTCCGGTGCAAATGCGATGCCATGAACCAGACTCTCATGGCTCGTAAACGAGACGGGCACTCTTTTGAGCTTTCTCTTGTTTGTCGCAACTTCCCACACCAGTATGCTTCCATTCCATCCTCCACTCGCTATCCAACGTCCATCAGGGGACGCCGAGACCGCCCAGACTTTGTCATCGTGTCCCAACAAGGACTCTCCCACTTGTTTCCCCATGTCCAGATCCCACACTCGAAGACTCTTGTCGGCCGAGCCAGTAACGAGGAGACGGGTACCGAGGATGAAAGCTACTTCATACACAGATTCCTCATGACCCTTGAGTATCAGTTCAACAGGCTGGGCGGGTGCTTTTGTGGACGCTTTGTGGATGGTGACCGCCATTCAAGTGTCTCGGTTAGCAAGAATACTGAGGGAGTAGCAATAACTTACATGTGCTATAGTGAGTAGTCATCTTCTGTAAGATACCGACTATCGCTGAGCGCTGAACCCTGATGTTGCCTTTGCCTTAGGCACGTGGTGTCCCTCATACGGATCATCCTCAGCGCTTCTTCCAGGAGTTTCCTTTAGTAGGCGCCGTGGCTACTTTTACTGTGTTTCAACTGTCGTAACTGATATAATTTCCTGGTCACGTCCGAGTCAGTTGACCCGAGATCTCTTATTACATTCATCTTGTGCTAATAAGTGACATGAATGTAACGAACTAATTGCTTGATACTGCTTGGCTGTGGTGCTGGCACCTCCAAGTCAGGCTGAGGGAGAATGAAGTTCTCGTTCCTGCCAGTATCAGAAAATAGCAACTTCGCTCCATTGCATACTCTCCTGGCCACTGCTGCACCGCAAGGCAATCAATTCTGCGATTACAAGTTTGGCCTCCACGCGGACACGGAGCGAGAAATACTGACTGGCCCATATACGCGCGGGATTAAGTATATGAACTGCCAACAAAGTGCTATCGATATAGTGTGGGCGTTGAAGGACGGTCGCAGTATCTCCAGATGGGTGGTGGATCATGAGTGGTGCGTCCAGACGGAAGCATCCATTATGATCACCACTGAACAGATAACGCCAACTGCAGATCGAAGAAAGTGAAACAAGCTTCTGTGGGTAGGTATACCAGCGTTTAGGAGGCCTTTGCAGTTGATAAGGACATCATTGTACATTGACTGGAGTCTATTATCATTAGACTTAATACGCTGGGCCAATTCACTTGGACGTTCAAAATTTTCAAACAGCGAAGGACCTAATTGTTGAACCTTCAAACTCTCGTCTTCCTAAGCAGGTCTGGCCCTTATCATGTTCATCTTTTAATCATTGTCCTAGATCCGGATCGTCATTCTTTCAATGAGCGTGCTCCTCCAGGACGTATGTGATGGTGTCATCGAGCTTCACAATAATCTGTACGATCCAGACGATGTGATAGAAGCTGGTAACACGAGCGTACCATGCACCTCTTGTCGCAAAGTTGAGGGGAGGGGTCTTCCTGGCCAGGCGTGCAGCGCTTTTTCACGATATCAAAACTCTTCAAAGGGGTAGTAACATCGACAGTGACACATGCACGTGTCTCGAATGCGCTGGTTGATGATATAGTGGAGTGCTCAGGGTGCATGTACGATTGTTCCTGAAGCTTGGGGGAGAAGACTGAAGTACTCTGTATGTCGCGTTTGATTAAAACCTTGATGAAATTCATAATTTATTTTCATTCTCTCTGAAAAAACTGCTGATTATCTCGCAATGCTTCCCCTAGACCTCAAAGTGAACGCGATATGCACAGCACAACAAATTATGTCAACGGAGACGGGGTAGGTGCACTATAGAATGGTGTCACTGCTCCCGAACGTCTTCACAATAATGACAATTTTCTCGCCCCGGGCATCATGGTGTTTCTCTACCAAAACCTTGGTCGGGAGGAAACATCCTCCAGAGGAACCTCACTCCTCAATAGGTACTTCCATGTCCTCATCTCTCAATCGCACCGGCTTATCATTGGTCGCAGGACAGAAGTATCCAATGTGGAGAAGGTCCTCACCAAGTTCTTCAAGTCGGGCGTCGTACCTGCCCCAATCTGAGGGCCAGCGTTTCAATATACAGTTCAATGGGTCTCTCAATAACGACTTATATAAGGATATTGAACTGGCTAGCATCGATGACTTGATCATGATTTACAATGTATCGTATTTCTCGTATGCCCCAGTCATTGTAATACACTAGGTTGACCATGATCGTGATGTGAGACCATGAGGACGAAGTTCTAGTCAGATATCAAGCAACGTATTTTGGAAGCAATATAAAATTACATGTGTCTTCGAATACTTTGTACATGCGTGATATCTTCAACAAAAAAGATTTGGAAGGGAAAGGACACTCAGCTGGTGCGTGGAGCAGCAGGACTTATCTGTTGGGTTCGTGCAAGACATGGGAAGTACCTCGTAAGAACTGCAAAGCAGCTGATGCCTGGAACATGTTCAATGTCCAACAAAGAAGGGTGGTTAGTTGTAGCAGAAGCGTCGGTATTTCCAGTCTGCAACCTTGCTGGCGCAGTTTCATTGACCACATTGGATGTCCCTGCTGGTGGCGTGCTGCTGCTTGAGGCACCAGCGTGAGCTTGCCAGTCGCGAGGAGGACGTTGTAGCCGCAACAACTTGTCCCTTTTTCCACTGTGCGCATTAGCGGTGCGCTGTGAGACAATATCAACATCACTGCATGGATGTCGAAAAGTCAGCAAAGCTTACATATTTGCCTCGTGTTGCAGAGACGTCCACAAGGGGAACCCCGCGTGGGCGAGGAGTCTGGTCCTGGGAAGCGGAGGAGCGAGAAAAGATACCATCTACCACGTTTTTGATTTTGGAGCCTTTGGCGTTGCGCGTAGTGCTGGCGCGATTGTTGTGTGCAGTTGGATCAAACTGTCAAACGATAGTGAGACGTGCATCAGATCTACTGTATCATATGGACTTACATCATCGAAGAATCTATTAATCGGTATTGGAGCGCGTTTTGGGCGAGGCCGTGGGTCTGGGATGGTTTTCTGCAGGACTGAAATTAGGGATTGCACAAAACAACGAGCGTGAAAGCGACGTACCTCGAGAACTTTCTGAGTGGACTATATGTCAGGTCAACGGGCGTGAAGTATGATAGGACGAGAAAAATTGCTCACCTGTTGAAGCTCCTTCTCTGACTCGCTCAGAGGAACTGTCCATGTGCGAACATGGTTGTCAACACAGCCAGTCGCGATGAGTTTGCTGTCCTCGGAAAATGCCACACACCAGACTTCATCAGGGTGCTCGAGTGGCTCGCCGATGGGTTCGAAAGTGGCCAGGTCAAAGAACCGCGTCGTCTTGTCGTATGATGTGGTGGCGAATTTGTTGCCATTGGGAGCAACGGCTAGTGATAAAAAGAGTTCAGTAGTATGCGC